TGTTTTCTCCAGTGGAGAGAACATTTCCCACTCAGTCCTGATCATATACTTCTTCCCTGTCCTAAGCAAAATTCAGTGTTATGTTGCTCTTTTTTGATCTAAATGTCATTCACTCTTTAAGTTATTAGAGCTGTTTCTAGTGTTTGAGTGGATAACTACAGAACCACACAACCTTATTTTCTTTGAATGTTGTATCTCTGTAAATTCATCCCTTGCCAGTCAGCCCAGGTACTGAGCAATTTAGATTAGGAGTAAATGGTCTACCCTTGTATGACCATGGAGTATAATTCTTAATATGCAGAAAAACTAAACAGAACATACTTATTTCTCTACATTCATCAAATATTTGAGTGAGACTACATCATTTGAGGACACCAGGAAATAAAGACTATGTAAACCTTGAGCTAACAAAGAGCTGGTTTTGAACCTAGGCAGTAGGGTTTCACAGGCATCATGGCAAGTTTACCACTACTTTGCCAACAAATATGGAGATGTAATAGGATGTTTAGGATCTTGCCCCAAGCTTTCTAAATAGCTTCCTCTGAAAAATCTTCCTAGCTTGACACAAAAGTCACAATCAGGAAGGAATGAAGCAAGACATTCAGTTTTTGAGGAAGGAAACAAGGATAAGTTTGGGCTTTTTTCAGCAGTTCTTTCTGGCAGCTGTTCATTGCACGTGTGGCATTAGAAGGACTGTGGATTCACACAAGTGTTTTGTCATGCTTACGTGTTTCATGTGACTGAACATTTGGCAGATCTATGTGATTGCAAGCTTTTGCTTTGAACTTGCAGATCAAGTAAGAAAACATTTCTGAAAATTGGACTTAGAATCCAAGATTTCTCCTGTCTCATTCAAAACTGGCAAAGTTCACAAACACTGCCTGAGTCCACCTGTACTCCAGCTCCAGTTTTGCATCAGCTGTGAACTGAAGCAAAACCCTGCCCCAGAGCACCCACCTGCATCACAAGCATCCAGGTCTTGTACCTTGAGCCATCTCTAAATATATCTTCCAGTAAAGCCATTTTGCTTTCTTTTCCGGGTTTGTAACAGGTGTTTCACACTCTTCTAGTACAAACAACCTCAGCCTAGGAATGAAGTATGCCTGAGTTTTATTTTCAGAGGTGCAGTAAGTCTCTTCCACTGTCAACAGCAACTGTAGTTTCAGAATGACAAATACACAAAGTACTACAGTCATGTATCATCCCTGTGGCTGTCTTAGGGTGTGTAGTACTTGAAATGTGTCATAAAGATGAGTAACTCTTACTACCTCCTTTATGGTGGAGACAGCAGAAGGTTAAGTGATTTGACCAGGTTGTCTGAAGAGATGGAGACAGGCAGTGCCTTGCTGAACTTGCCATTCTGTGCGTGTATTTGTGACATACTGCCTAGCTTCACAAGCAAGTTGATTCACATTTCCTGATACAGATAGTCGGAAGCAGCATTCAGGTATAAACAGTGAAACAACTGTGATTTCTGTTCAACCTTCAATTTTCTGATGACCTTCCTTTTATCTCACAATTTTCCACAAAATAGCCTGATATTTAAAATGTCATTCGGTGTCTCTGGAAATGTGGAAAACAAGCAAATGGACTTCTTTTTTTCTTTTCCCTCAGAGAAACACATAGTTTCCTCAACCCTATATTAGGCCATTTCTAAGGTAATACACATAATTCAGTGACAAATCCACTTCAGCCTTCATAATGCCCTTCGTTTTTACTTCAAAACATTCACTGACTCTCGTGGATTTGTACTATTTAACACCCAGATAAAGGTAAGCTGTCTTTTTTAATAACGATGGATTACATTTTCTCGTTACATGCTCTGATTCAATTGGATTTCTCACTGTGAGCCCATCAATTCCAGAGAAAACAGTAATGCCAGTGTGAGAATAATTGTAGTTATTAGAAAGATAAACAAGATGAAACAAAAACTAACATAAACGCAAGTTAAATTACTGCTTTAAAGACCCACTTTTCCTTCCTTTTGCAGAAGAATCTCTACATTTCCCTTTTCTTTACGAGCATATTATTAGAAATGATAGAGACAGATTACTTGATGAGACCTTTTCTACTAGACTAGGGCACTGCCAAAACTCTCCCACAGAGGTGACTGCTAGTGCAGAGGAGAGCTTCCATGCCCTTCAGAATAGGGCTGTTCCTTGCTAGTACCCCAAGAAGGATGAAGTCATGATGAGATAATATCCCCAAATCATCTCTGAAGATGGCAAGACAACTCTCGTCAGAGGGATACTGCAGTGGATGTATTTCTGCACATAGGAAAACTGCAAAGGTTCCAGTGACTTTCTGGCCCTCACAAGTTCAGTGCATAACGTGAAATTTGATGAGTGGAGTCCTGTTCACCTACCTGCACCTAGCTTTGAACACCCTGCAGTGCTGCAAAAGCCTTAAATATGCACTGAGTCTTAAGTATGTGAGTATATCCTTCCCCATTTAGGAAAGCTTTTGACCATATAGCTAAGTCCTACGGGAGTAAACAGGAGTTAAATGTGCACCAAATTAGTGAGTTGCTTAAATGCTTTGGCTGAACTGGGGCCTTAGACCATCATTGTTTCTTCATATGGTCAAAAAAGGTCAACTCAGTAAAATGTGTACTTTAAGTGGCTTCTCCACTGAAATTCATCCAAGAAGATTTACACACTCGAATATATTTAGAGATGTTCCTTTGGGCAGAATACCAGGCAGCCTGCACACCTGTCCTGCTGGACAGATGATCTCCAGGGCAGAAGAGCTAGTAAAGATCTGAGTATTTGTTTAGCCACCCCGTCTCAGCCCTATGGAATTAAATAACCTTGTTTTTGTAGGATTACTTTGCTAAAATAATACGAATATCACATTTTTTCCTCTAAAACATATCACAATATAATGTTGCCCTGAGAGAGAAAAGGGGAAGATGTGCAGCTCCTCCTGTTTCATTTCCTGCGTTCACGGATTGTTGTGTTACTAAAATATTTTTATTACAGAAGAACTTGAAGCAATATACAATGTTTGTCAGAGGATTATTTATAGTCCCTTTAAGCTGAATTTCTGTAATGAAATCCATTTACAGACATTCCAGAGTGCCCTATGGTTACTTGCTTATGCAAATGAAATGTGACCCTTGAAATAAGCCTCTTGCCCTTGCTGTCACCCTCCTTGGCTTCAAAGGTCCACAGACAATCACTTCTTAAGTGAATGGGGATTTTTTATTTGGTTTTGAGTGGGGAAGGAAGAAAATGAAAAAAGAAAAACCTTTCCATTGCATGGTATTCTTGCAGAGATTCATAGTGACTGACTGGTTGTACATTTATTTGAGATAAAGCTCATTTATTTTAGATGTTAACATAGGAATCCTTTGCTCATAAACATGCTTCTTAGACTATACTCTTCAAAAAGTGAGATTTTGCATTAAAATTTCAGAAATGTCCAAGTGAGTTAAGTGCCTGGATTTAAGTTCATTTCTTCTTCACTTGTGCATTGGATTCCTAATTCAGATATCTTGTTTCAAAGGTCTTACTTCTGGGCTCACAGATGTGAAGTTTCAGCCTGGCATACTTGCAGAGCTAATTCTACAGTAGTCCATGAAAAAAAGGGGTGTAAAATTCTGCCCTGTAAAAATGGTCTTATTGTATGGCTATGCTTGCAGTAATCTACACATATAAATGAATGAGTAAATAAATATATAAGATACAGAAAAGAGATGGAGACCCAACTATTTCAGAGAGGTAGAGAGGATAACTTTTAACAAAATGAGTCATTCTACATCTTTAATTATTATAATATCCTGTCAGAAAAGTCAAGAAAATGAACTATACCAGAGTAATAAGGGCTACATTTCTCTTTACCTCTTTTAAAGCAACATCCGCTTTAAAAAAAAATAAAATTTTTAGAAGCTTTAGGATTGTGGCTTTTTTGTTCAACTCTTTACAGATGCAGTTTTGGTACAACAATTACTGTCCCACTTGGGACTCTCTACAGTGTAGGCTGTGATATAATGACTGAGAGCTGTCAGTGCAAACAAATTTACACTTGACTGCAGGTCACAAGCCACCTCTTTACTTGTGTTTCATATGTTTCTTCAATACTGGCATCATGTTAAAATTTAGCATGCAACATCCAACAATACTAGTTTTATGATACTTTTTCAGAATATTTCTAATAGTTCCTCAAAATAGGCATACAAATAATGAGACTTTCTGGATGCAGAGGGTTCTGTAGGGATAGAAGGATGAAGAGAAATATACCTTGAGGTGGTTAGTTATGTTTTTTCAAAGAAGAAAAATTCAACAAAAGCAGGTGGCAAAATCACTTCTTTCCCATTTTGATGTATGACATCTGTAAATAAAAGAAACTAACTTCAAATGAACCAGACTGTCCATAATGATGCTATCTCAGCTATAGTACCTGCCAGTAGCACAACAGAATTCCTTAAGATTCTTTCTTTCACAGTTTCACTGTAAGTGCAAGTTGACTACCTGGACTTATAGTCCACTTATGGCAATTGTAGATACTTCATTTACTTCAGCATAATCACAGAATCACAGAATCATCTAGGTTAGAAAAGACCTTGAAGATCATCCAGTCCAACCATTAACCTAACACTGACAGTTCCCAACTACACCAGATCCCTCAGCGCTATGTCAACCCGACTCTTAAACACCTCCAGGGATGGGGACTCCACCACCTCCCTGGGCAGCCCATTCCAACAACCAACAACCCCTTCTGGAAAGAAATGCTTCCTAATACCCAGTCTAAACCTTCCCTGGTGCAACTTGAGGTCATTCCCTCTTGTTCTATTGCTTGTTACTTGGTTAAGGAGACTCATCCCCAGCTCTCTGCACCCTCCTTTCAGGGAGCTGTAGAGGGCGATGAGGTCTCCCCTCAGCCTCCTCTTCTCCAGACTAAACACCCCCAGTTCCCTCAGCCGCTCCCCGTACGACCTGTGCTCCAGACCCTGCACCAGCTTCGTTGCCCTTCTCTGGACACGCTCGAGTCATTCAATGTCCTTTTTGTAGTGAGGGGCCCAAAACTGAACACAGGAATCGAGGGGCGGCCTCACCAGAGCTGAGTACAGGGGTAAGATCCCTTCCCTGCCCCTGCTGGCCACTCTATTTCTGATGCAAGCAGTACATGAGAGTATAGACTCTTGCATGAGAAGACTTTGGTTTTGCTGGATCTTTTTTTTTATAGCTGATTCCAGCTAGTTTTTATTACAAAATATTTGTATCTTAAGGCCATGTTGAAGATAAATAGCCATGACCCCACATTATCCTGGGGACTTTTGTGATAAGTGATGCTCCCAAAAGATGTGAGGCAACTGTTGAGTTTATCTGAATAGAGGACTGCAGCCCTGCAGTTATATTTTATGACCTGCCCAAGAACATGTGGGAGAGGTTCTGGAGACTCCATAGACTCAGTGCTTCTCATCTCTTCCTGGGCTCCTTCCAGCGAGCACAAGAAATTCAGTGTTGTTCCCCTGGAAGGGTGAACTCTGTGGGACAGAGAAAATAGTGTGTGACTACCTAAGCAGCATGGGTTCTCTCCTCAGGACAGGTTCTCAAATCCCTAACTGCCCTTTTGAAAAGAGCCTTTTTAACACTTAGGAAGGATGTTTGGTTCTGTTGTGGTAGATTGGGCTACTTGCAGTTTCTTATCATAAGACTTATTTTTACATGTTTTTATCTTTTTCTGCCAAAATCCAAATATTTGTTTTTTCCTTTTTTATTTTAGTCAAAATGATTAACCTCTTTCTAATTACGAGGATTCAAAACCAAACTAAGATCAGGCTATTTGTTTTAAGCAGAAGAACATCTATATTGCTGGCATGGAACATGACACTTACCAGGAGAATTATTTTTGTGTTAGAGATGTGCCTTTTCTCCCGAGGAAGACCTCCCAATTCTTGATCAAGGTTTTGAAAAATGTGTCATTTATATTGACCAACTGAGCATATTCTGTCACCTCTCAGCCCCTTCCTATGTCTGGACAATGCAGGTGCCCATCTGACAGTGTGCTTGAGAAGGTGTGGGTCTGGGACACCAAGGCTTTTGCCGCAGGATCTGCATCAGATGGAGGAAAGCTTATGTGAGAAAGCTAATCAGTACAGTCTGTCATTCTTATGGTCTCAGTGGCTCTCACTTCTGAAGCACTGTGGTTGAATACTTAACAAATATTCGAGATGTTTTCTGCTGAGGCTGTGTGGAGAAGAGAAACCTAGGACAAGAGGTTTGGACCAGAATGGTAAAATCAAGGACTTGTTTGAAAGGGGTAACCAGCTAGGAAGAAGCTGGGATGGGAGATTTTGAGAAGGGGCCTGTGAGCTGGTGAGGAACAGGAAGCCAGCAGCTGTGGAGAAATAGGAGAGTGTGGAGACAGGAGAGGGAGCGATGAAGGATGACATGAATGGCTGAGCTAAAAGACAGGGAACCACGGGAAGAGGTTGAAAGGAATTGGAGAGGAAGGAGGCACAAAAGAAACAAGGGGAAAGGAGAGGAACAAGTGGTTAGGAGCTATGGGAAGAAAACTGAGCAAAGAGGTGCAGAGAACAGGCCAGAAAAAAAGTGGATAAGTGAATACGGGGAGTAGAAACAAACAGAACTGGGACTGGCTGAGCAAGGAGAGAAAGAGTGGATTTGGGAGCAAGTAAATGGGAATTTAAAAGAGAGTGAGGCACTGAGTTCCTAGAGAGATGATGAGTGTAAATGACTGGCAAGGCTATTCAGGTGGTTTTGTCCAAGACCATTTAGCTGGAGGTGCATGCTAGCCCCATTTTTTTCCAGGTCAGCCCATAGTTTAGCACATGGGATTAGCTTCTGAGGGATTAAGAGAATGATATGAAACACAGGATTTCCCTTGACATTGCAGGGAGCATATATGTCTGGACCAGTCCCTGCAAAATTTATTCATGATCCAAATGCAGACCAAATTCAGTATTTGAGTAGACCTTCTCGAGGAAATGGGACAGTGACTAGCCAAAGGTGAAGGAAAGATAAAACTGGAGTAAGGATTGAAGAATGCAAAAGAATGAGAGAGGCTGAAGCAGAAAGGACCCAGGAGACTAAATGTAGCAAAATTATATGTACAGAGGATGGTTTGTACCCAACAAAGAACATTGTCCATGGACCAGAATGGAGCCTGAGATCCCAGTATTTCACCATTCTGCTGCTTTCTGCAGATGTCAGCAAAATGGGCCTCCCAACCCACTCTAATGTTTGTTACCCTGGTCGGGAATTCAGTGTGAACAGAGGATCTAAAGTTCCATCTCTGTGACAAGCCACAGAAGCACTGACAAAAAAGGCAGTTAGACAACTAGTGAGTAGGGAAAGAGGGACTTGGTTTTGTTGGTCCATTGCATATATGAAATTACTTCAAAGAAAGAAGAAACAAGATGGGAGAATAAAGGTGGCTTTGAATGAACCTTTGGTTCTTTTGTTTTAGGAATTAAAAAATGTGCAGTAACTGAAGCACGGACTGGCAAGAAGAGGAAGGAATGTTTACCTAATTATTATAGGGAAATGATTCCATGGAAAAATTACCTTTATTTTTGCATCTTCCATAGAATTCTCCTGAGGCAATGTAATAGGAAAGTCATTTTAAAAGCAGGTTTTTCTACTTTTTCATTCACTTTCTTGAAATGACTATAAAAGAGGGAAGACAACTGAAGTGCACTCTGAAATCAAGAGTTAGTGCCTCTCAGTCTGGTTAAATGGATAAGCACATGAATCAATATTTTTAACCCCCATTCACCTCCCTTCACAATGACAGGTCAATATTTGTGGTAGAGCTGGACACTGTATGGGTAGGACTATGAGGAAATGAATCATTTAGAATACATAGCAGATCAAGAATAACATTCAGTAAATAATGCCTAGAGCTATTCCTGAACAGTGACACTAGGACTAATATGACTTTGCTGTAAAGTGGGTATCGTCTATCCTATGGCCCCTGTAACACACAGGGTAAGTAAATACTGTACACCATATTGTATGGCTATAGGAAGGCTGAAGTAAAGTTGTACAGATTTTCCACAGCTATGGAAGCTTTTGTGTCAAGAGAAGGCCTCAACTTCCTTGGCATATAAAATTTGTGTAAATACCTCCTGGTGAGTGAGTCGGCAGAGTAGGTTTTTGAAGTCCTGCAGAGTGAGAATGCATGAAGACATAGATCCTGATGAGCTCAGTTATCTTCTCCCTGTGACATTTACAGGGGTTAGAGTTGACAGTACCTATGTCAATAAAAGCATGATGTCCTACTCTTTATGGACAGATCTCACTGAAATTACTTGTCATTTTAGTGTGATTCCAATTTTAGGCATTGTTTTCTTCCATTAAAAGTAAACACTTTACTGAATAAGAAATGCTTCTTTCTCTTAGTTTCTTGCTCAAGTATCATGTCTCTTTTACCTGACTTTTTTTCATCCAGGATTACTTGCTTGCAATGAAGTGTATCAATATGATCCCCCAGAGTACAAATGCTTCCATTTTAGGAACAGTACACATGATATCAGTGTTCATTCTTCTGGATGTTCATCACTCTTAAGTGGAGAGTTGAGATGCAAGCTCTTAATTCACATAAATATCCTGGTGTTCCCACTTGAGTTAGCTAGCTGGCTAGATGCAATAAAAATTAAGAGTACAAATGCTGTGCATACTTCAGCTGGCAGCCACCTGCTTTACCACAGAGAAACAGGCTAATCCTTTTGTCTGATGAAAGTCCTCCACCACTTTCCCACAGTTCCTTTTGTGTTCCATAGAAGCCAACAAGTTGTCCTGCAGTCCTCTGAAAAAAAAAAAAAAAATATATATATATATATATACAGAGCTTCACTATACTGCTGAACAAAAGCTCAAAAGCTGGAATCTACCCCACAAAAGCTGTAGTTCCCCACCAGGGTTGCTCTGAGCCCCAGTGGAAGGCAGTACATACATAGAGCTTTATACAGCCATCTCCACACTGGTGAACCTGCTGTCCAACATTCCTTGCAATGAAGACTATATCAGGAATTTTTCCTGTCCATCTTCTTCAGGGATTGCTACTTCTAATCAAAGAATGGCTTAAACCAGCCTTTTTGGCGTCTGTTTTGCCCTCACCAAATGTTATAAAACCTGTAACTGAATGACGTGCCAGACAGATCTGAAAGTCCTTTTTTAATATGTGGGTTGGGAAGAGGAGAAAGAAAGCAAGAATAGAGTTCACATTGATAGAGCTCTAAGAGGCTCTCAGAATTACTTTTTCTTCTTGTTTTCAGCACTCATTTGTTTTTAACATTAAGCAGAGAGATGGAGTGTAAAACCAGCTGTGCTTATTTCTGTCCTGCAAAGTTAGGTTAGATTTGAATTCTTTGTACTGAAACCTACTCATCTTTCAAACATATGTTACTCTTTTTTTAAAAAAAAAAAAAAAAAAAAAAAAAAAAAGAGTACGATCTCACCCTAGCAAAATACCACTTGCGTGGATCAGTGAGGTTTGTTGCCTCGGTAAGGACTACTGCGTCTTTGTCACAGAGAATCCAGCAGAGCTATTTATACAAGCAAGGACTATCGCAAGTAATTTTCAGGATACAGCTGCACTGTGAAAAGTACTGTATAGTCTATAAAAATAGTGGGCATGCCTTGTAATCTTAAAGTCCTGGTATGTTTGCATGGAAACTTCACTAACGTCCTTACGTGGTTTCTTATGACCTCACAGAGGAACAATGTATTTGCAGGAGGGCTATTCCCAGAGCTTGCCAGGGTCTGACATTTTAATCATGAAAAGCAATTCATCTTGTTTTCAATATTAAATTAAGGATGACTTAATCAAATCTCAAAAATATACCTAATGGTGCTTAATTACATGACTTGAACAAAAGAAAAAATATATGATAAAATGTAACTAAACTGTGATAATCGTTGTAACATTAGAATTATTCTGATATCATTGAACTAATTGGAAGGTTTAAGATTGACCTCTTGGGTAGGCAAGATTTTTCAGTGAAATACAGCTTAGATGCTTAATATCTCACCTTTTTAAATGTTTTATTCCCAGTCTGAGTTTACCTTAGAGAATATCATATTAATTAACTACAGTTATATGGAACTGTGAGGTTATATTTCTATGCCGTAGTTCCAAGGCAAACGAATTATTTTTTAAAGATCTTGCTCCCCTATTTTGATGATGTTTTGGGGTCATATTCTTTAAAAATCAGGTATTCCCAGTGGTCCTTCAGTGATCATTTCCAAATTCTCCTGAGTGGAAAATATGGCTAGAGCATTAAAAAACACTACATGAATAATCTGTAGATCATTGTAAAATATATCCCATAAGTACCTTCATTTAAGGAAAACAATCACTTGGTTTCCACATATAGTCTTCCTAAAAGCTAACGAAATGATATATGCAATGGATTTTGCATAACAATCTGTGCAGTGTGCTGACTATACTAGTATGGTATTAGGACAGTGAACTCTTCCACAGAGAAAAACTGAGAACTAGTCGAAAAAATGACAAACCTTTGACTATTTATTTCTTTACTAATAAGATTAAAGGAAAAAAGTAAGGTGTTTTTACATATACACCAAGAAAAAACATATCACTTACTATCTTGGCTCGCAGCACAGACCGGTACGTTTTGAGGTACAGGCAGTCAAGTATATTACCAGATTTGGGGCACGACTCTTTCCAGCTGAAAAACATCAAGGGTGCCTTGTTTATAAGAGAACTACGTCAGTTTGTGTTGTGTCAGCATCTGATGTGCTTGCAGATCTTGCAGACTTAATTTCAGCAGTTACACCTCCCAGGAAGTTCTATTCTTGATCTGAGAAAGACCATACTGGTAGGAGGGCATTTTGAGCACATGATACTGTTAATTTATCATTTAGGGCGATTGATTATACACTATATTCATTTAAAAATATATTAGTTGCCTGCTGGACAACTTCAGACTTAGCACACATTTCCTGGGTGACTGTACTATTGTAAAACATTGATTTCACCGTTGGTTTTGCTGTATTTGGAGTTGTCTATGATATGAAATTATTTTCCAAATTACAATAATGTTATTTACTAGTAGTGTATGATGTTAGTGAGAGAGCGAGCAAAGGAGAGATGAGGAAAATAATACTAGGACAAAATGGGCTATAGATAAAGCCCTGAGAAGCTAAACACATCTCTAAATCGAAGACAGAGAGTTCTTCAAGTGCTGAGCTACTTCTGTAATGCTCAAGTTTGTCTTTTTCAACCTTACATGTCTGCAATATGAGAAGCTGCATGAAAGAGGCAGTGCCGAGTACCCGTCCTCTGCGTTCAGCTAGGTGAGAGGATGTGTTGATTTCCTCCTTGAAAACCCTACTGCATCACCCCGGTTTCCCATGGCTGTCCCTTCCCAACAACAGTGCCATGGTCACATCCTAGCATCCACTTTATTGCCAACCCTGGCACGTGAACAGCCCTTCACCATATTCTCATAGTCACCAGATAATTGTAACCCTGCCCTAAATTCATGCTCTCCCCTCTAATGGAGAAAGCGCATCCTCCTCCTGCTCTTTAGTACCTAGTTGATCAAACCCTTGGCCCTTTCTGGCATTACAAAATCCTGTATCACTGAATGGAGCAAAGGCTGCCTGTCACACACCTGGTCCTGTACTAATAGTTAAGCAGATTTTAGTTCTGAGCCGTAGACCCGCATCCCTAGCCCAGGTCATCTTATAGGAGAACAGTATTAATAACAAAACACAGCAGAAAAGGAAGTTTTCAGGATTCAGTTATCTCTGTACTGAGTGAAATGTTTGTGCTTTAGTTGTCTTTATATTTTCCAATGACTATTACCAGTAGTAATCAATGAATTACAGAGGCTTCCTCGGGTAAAACTGTATAATAATACACTTATTTAAATGTAATCTTCAAATTACTGGGTAGATATATATGAAAATATTTTTGTTAAGCACTAATTTTGTAGACATTCCCTTCCAAAGGACTATTGACAGTTGCTTTTCAGTTGCTTGTCATCAGCTTGGTATTTGATTATGAGTTTTATCACAATACAGTGTGAATAAGAAGCTAGCCAGCACTGTGTAGCTGGTAATCAAGGAGAGCTTATGCACTGTCCTGGTCGAAACTCAATATTCCTCTGTGTCTCTATAGCTTCCAGCTTTGTAAATGTTTCACAGAAAGTTGTAGACCTTAATATAACGTTTCTAAATAGGAAATAGTCAAACAAAAGTCCAATAGACAAACAAAATGGGCAGATTGTTGTCCCACAAGACAGATATTGGGACTGTTCAGAATAGCAAAGGAAATAATTCTTTGAAGTTATATTAATTATAATTACTATCAATTCTTAACAAATATTGCTAATTAGTGACTTATTATTCCTTGCTAACAATAGGGAGAATCTATAATTAAGTACATATTTCATTGTACACCACAAACAAATACAACTGCATGTATTGGAAAAGTAGCTCTCTCAAATGGTACCAAGACAGGGAAAATATGTGTACTTTAACAATTTTCAAGGGTTAAAATATCAAGGCACATTATATATACAATTTATGCCAAAGGCCAGAGGGGTAGTAGCCCCATTTCATAATCGCTGTGGCATTTTATGGAACTTCTGCCTCTTTATGGTTCTGTGACTTCCCTCATTCAGGGAGGCCAGAATGAGAAAAGGTCAAAATAGATGTCAGCCCAAGCAATTATGAAGAGAGAACTTGGACATGACCCTGAGATTAGAAATGGTGACCTGTCACAGTAACAGGGGAAAACCTGCCATGCTGCCTTTTTGTCACATACAAACTACTATGGCAGTCTTAAAACGTACTGTCATTTATTTGCATTTTAATCTCTTTCACTTCTAATATTGGGCTTTCCTTCTCATCTTCTCTCTCCTGACATAAGCAGATGGCTCAGATGGCAGAAAATAGGCACAGAGTTTAGAATATCCACATCTGCAAAGAAAGATCTTGAGAAAATGGATCAAAACCATATTTGTCTGGACATGAGGAGCAGAAATAACACAGTAAACAAATTGTGGCCTGATTCTGGATGATATAGGAAATATTCTAGGGTTCCTTTAGGGTCAATGAGAGATTCATTTCAGATACAAAGAATGCTCAAAAACTATGTAAATAGGAATGGAAGAAGAACCTGAACAGAAGAGGATTTGAAAGTGAAACTTTCCCTGTATTTTTTATTTTTTACATATCTAAGGTTTAATCATAGTAACAACAAAAATTCCTGCTATTTTTGTTTATTCACAAAGGAGGTATTTTTTTCAGTTTGTTTGGTTTTTAACATGCCTGATTTGAATTAACCGTGTCAGTCTTTGGAATTAATTCTTTTCATATAGAAGCGTTGCCTCTGCAGTACATCTTTTATTTCACAGCTGACTATCTGTGGAAGGAATATTGTGGGAGAGATATAGTTCATTTTCACTGATAAAGCATGAGAACGGAGCAAGCAAAACACAGGGATGGAGTGTTTAACTGGGCCATGAGTTAAGGATCTAGCAGCAAAATGGCCAGTTCTTACTAGGGAATGGGTTTCTGCTTGCAGTTCTTTAGTTTGCCACTCTTTAGCCAGAGAAAGGGTCATATTCTCAAACATCATCACCCCAGCCCCCAAAATTCGATATGCAAAGTAGCAATGCTTTCATCTTAGAGAGTTGTTCTTTTTCACCAGGACAAAAGTTTTAATTTCCTTACTATTCAGCAAATTAAAATGTTTAGTAATTGCTGCTCTTTCTATGCAGCCTTTTTAATAGGTTTTATGATGGTTGCACCCCAAAAGTTCCTTTTTTTCCTCCAGGCTATTCCTATGGCAACCTTTCTTTCCTGTCTCAACAGTAGAAAAGTTCCTTTTGACATCTGTAGATGCTTTCTGTAAACAATCCATATTCACTATTCAGAATGGCAGATGGTTCATTATAACTTTTTCACTTTCTGCAAATTAATACAATAATGTTCACATTGTGCATCTAAATCTAATCTCCTAACAACTACCTTATCGTCAAAGCTATGAGTGAGTAAGATTAGATCTGTCCCCTCCTGCCTTGCTGTGACAAGTTTGTGGTTATTCCTAAAGGTGTGGCTTGGTTACAGAAGTCCTGTTTGCCGAAAAACAAATGTCTGGAGATCAGACATATAGGAGTGGTATTCTTGATAAATTTAAACTTTGCCCTCCCGAGTCTGAACCACAGATGTATGTGACTGCCCGGGATCAGTATCTTTTTTTTTGCCCCACTCTTGAATAGCTGCTATACCAGGAATAAGAAGTGGAGGAAAAGCTACCCCCTGTAAAACAACACAAATTGAAAATATGAGCTAGATCAAATGAAATATTAGAGAAAAACCTTAAGGGAAAAATTATACTTGTTACATTAATTATTCATTAATATAATGAATTAACTATTGTCAGTGTTCTGCCATTTTCCTGTGTTCTCCTCTAACTTTTACTATGGTAAACCTTCGAATGACTGTCGAAGGTAAAGGGCCTTTTTGCTGTGGAACACTGTCAGCAGGGAGTCAGTCTTCTTTTTCTGTCTATGTATCTACTGCTTGCGAGGCTTCATGTATGAAAACACACTGCTATATGAATAATAGGACAAATCCTGCTACTGCTATTAAAGGAAAGAAAGGCTGTTACTTTTAAAAAAACAAACAAACCAAACCAAACCAAACCAAAAACCCACTTAATTCTGTCCTCAATTTTTTTCTGTGGCTACCTTTTCCTAGACCCTGAAATTTTGTCCAATGCACATATCTAGTGAGAATATTAAAAATGATGTGAAGACAGCTCCCTGTATCTGTATCAAAATAGCTGCTCATTGCACATATGCTTCACAAATATAGTTACTCCCTGTTGGTACCTGCTGTACTTCCAACTGCTCTGCATTTCTTCAGCATGTCACTGAAATGTTGGCTAGGAAATGTCTGCTGATCCTGGTTTGGGACAAACCCTTCTTACATTTACTATGATGTAAAGACACAGAAATAAGTATGTCAGTAACATCTGAACCTCTATTTGACAGTGTGGATATTGCATGTAGAATGTAGCTCAGATTCAAAGCATATCTGTTGTACTCATTTATTTTTCCAGAATTCAAAATTAAGAAATTATAAGGTCAAAGGATATGTAGAGACCATCTCAAAATTGCTGCCCTTTGCTTCTAAACTTTGACAGGAACATCTAGTATGCAGTGTATAGGCATCTTTCCCAGTTGCATTGTCAGTCTGAATGTACATTCGGAACATCCACTATGATTTTTGGCAGATGTTCAGTGGATCACAAGATGCTCCCATCACACAAGAGTAAAAACAGAAGTATGCTGTGTCCTTCAAAACCTGCTGTGAACAATGTATGGCTGTTGAAAATATGTGTGTGACCATGCAGGTAAGAAGCATAATTTGTATAAAAGTGAATAAATGCTGTAAGCAATCATTCAGATAATTTTATTTTGCACTAATATTCTTTCAAGATGTGTATTTTTGTGGGGGCTTGTGTAAAAATATGGCATTTAAAAGCTCTTGTGAGGTTCCACTAGTTTGACTCCTATCCCTTATTGTTAATATTGGGAAAAACATTGAAAAAGAAATACATACACATGCAATTAAAAACTCTCTGATAATCGAATAACTACAAGGCAGGTAAATTTATAGTGTGTGGGCAGTTGGTTTTAAACTGGAGAAATTGATCTTGCAGTTTCTTGGGTGATATAAATATAATAACTTATTCTTTTACCCTAAGAGAAGTTGTGATTGCTTTTAAGAAATCAGACAAATAGGTGCAATTTTTTCTTGAAACTGTCTGATTTTAATCACTCAACCATATTTTTTAAAGTAAACCTTCTACCCCAAATACACAAGTTACCTGTTATTCCAGGATGAGATTCACCCATGCTGATGTGAAACCCATCTTTTCAAAGTATGTATTTGTATTATCACTAGGGGAACAGAAAGAGACGATGAATGTAGTAATCCTATATTCATAAGGTCTTAAATTAAATATACAATGGTTCGTAACAACCAACTTTTTACAACCACCATAACTTTTCAGTTTCAGCCTTTGCAAAACAACACAAACTCCTGTGAAGTAACAAATAATTACAGTGTGTGAAGAGAAATAGCCATATAACTTTCATACATAAGGCATGTAGTAATAACTCAATAGAATATCTTATTTCACAATGCAAATAAATTATAAATGTAAAGAGCAGTACCAGCACAATAAAAAGAAGTGGTGAGGCAGCTCTCCAAAGCAGTGTAGCTGAGTCACCTATCATTAGGTTTTGATAGCCAGTGGTCAAGACCAAGCCCACAGACTCCTTCATTCCTGTATTATTGGGGGTTTAAGGCTTTTTGTCATCTTCACAGCAGAAAGCCTGTGTGTTCCTCTAAAGATTTGATCCCAGGAGATTTCTAGTATGACACAACCATGGACCTAGTGCCAACCTCTCAGTGTGAAAGTGCAAGCAAAATCTGCTTCTTTATTGCTTTCTACTGACCATCATTCAACTCCATGCCCATGCCCCAAGGCCTTTGTTGCGTTGTAAAGAAGGTGGCCCTCCCTGGACCTCAGCACAGACAAACATGAAAGAGTATTAAAGATATCAAGAAGGGAGCTAGTCACTGCCTGGGAAACATTTATTTGAGCAGACACATATCTGGGAGCAGGTAAAAACTGAAATGAGTTATCTGAAGAAGCTACTTTGGATTTGGTGGGAGGTTGTTACAGAAAAGTAAAAGAAACCCAGAAGGATGTGTCTGTGGCCCTAGCTGGGCTGGCTGAGGAAGTTAAGACCAAAGAGAACATCAGGTTGGATTGCTGACTTAGCCTTGCTTGGGATGATGAAGGCTGCAGAAGGTGAGGGCAGGATGCCTGAACCCAGGTAGCACAGAGCCTTGCTACTGTCTTTTCCTGAGCACATCCATGTAGATTGTTTTGTCAATGACATTAATGTTGGCTGGGAGTGCAGAAAAAGGAGTCACATAGCTTGTCAGACTTGACTGTCAGCAAAATGTTTGATGAAGACTTAGCCATGCTGAAAAGAATTGCCTTGTTGCCTTAGCCTATGCTCTCTTGCAAATCTGACGGAAGGAAGGAAGAAAAAAAAAAAAACAACCTTGATGACTGAATGATGTCTACAATGGCTTCATGGTAAGTCTGTCAGAAGCTCTGTAGTGGATATGTGAACTGCAACAGACAGCTTCAATGGATGTGGGTGAGAGCTGGAGGGGAAGAGAAGGGCTATTGCGTCAATATTCAGTGATCGCTATATTCGATTCTCTCAGCTGGTCCCAGATGCACATGAAGAATCAGAAAGGAGCTAGTCCAATAATCAATGCAGAGAAATAAAAAGTAAGAGAGTCTATGAAGAGCCTGTTAAGAAGATAAGGGAAGGAGTCTACCTGGAAGTACAGGAGTGGCTGGTTGAATGTATGGATGGAAAAAGCTCTGGAAAGACAGAAGAAAGAGACAGTCGAGTACTGATAATCTGTCTGGGACTTCTGAGTGTTGGCACAGTGAGAGTACACTGTGAGAAAATGCCTCTTTCTGTAGCACAGCACTCAACTGGGGAAGGAGATAAAAGGCAGACCTGGACCCAAAGCAGATGAAATAATTTTGACTTCAAACTATATTCTGGAAAATGCCAATTATATGTGTCTTTAAAAATACAAAACTTAAGTCCACTGAGAGTAGACTTTCATGAATCATACTAACTGCATTCTGTTTACAGAATGAGACATTTTACTCAACAGACTGCAGTACTTCGTAGACCAGAAAGAAGTGTACAATATTGCATTTACTTTTGTCTGTGGTACATGGAAACTTCATTTATTACTCCAGCACTCAGCAATTCTTTGCAACTGATGAAGATTTATTTGAGTTTAACTAATTTTCTCTGTCATAGCCTTCTTCTCTCTGATCTTCTGTAATGATATATGGATATACATTTTAATACATTGCAAGCTCAAACAACTCTACCTAAATGTGATTAGAACAAGTTTTGGATAGACACATGGAAAACAACTGCAGCAGTTGCTGATGAGCACACAGGGAGGGAATAGGTTTTTGTGGTGTACAGGGGATTGGGTTTTGCACTGGAATGTCTGCCCTCAGAAGCTTTCACATATGCATGTCAAAATTGTTTGTAAGTTCTTCAGGAGTAGAACATAGGAAGGATAATAGCTTGGGCCTTGGCTTATGGCTCGGGATTCCTGAAATCAGTTCTCGGCTTGACCACCACAAAAAGCAACTGACAAAATGGGTTCAGGAACTTTGTAAGTTTAAGGAAGGTTTGGTCAAGAGAAATCTGGACTTTCCTCCCTGAAAATCACTTGGCTCTTCAGCCTTTCTTTACCAGTAAAGCAGATTTAAACTAACAAGGGGAATTCACCTACTACCAGCTTTGGTAAACTACTTTTCTCTTTTTCTTGACTGCAGTATATTGCTGTGCAGTGCACAGCTTGCTTTCTTGTTAACACTGCTTGGATTTTTTCTGAAAATATTCTTCTTTCACTTTATAATTACTCTTCAAAAATACTATTTCCTGAAATTTTTTTGCTAGCATCAAAGTACTTAATAAAATCAATTATACATGCATTTGCTTAATCTAACTATTAATAACAAAACAATAAGAACTAATATAATGCATGTGAGAATGTCACTTGTAGTTGTTCTGATAGACAAAAATTTTGCTTTACAAATTTAAAAATTTTCCAGTTGTAATTAAATCCATCAAAGATTCTTCCTCTTATACATTTAAACTTTGAAAAGGCATGACTTCTTTCTTCAGTGAGCACTAAAAAATATAAATCATTATGAGGTTTCAGCACTGGATATGGGAGACATTGTCAATCAGCCAGAGTAAGTTGTCCGCAATAGTTGTCTAATTCTGATTCTGATTCTGATTAAAGTACTTTCATTAAACTAAGTATTTTCTGAAAAATTAGCCACAAACTGATGTCCATATCTGGCTTGCTTGCCATTCATATTTAAAGCCTCAATATTTGTTTCTAGATAAGATTAAGTTTTAAATTGGAAACTGATCATTGTAGCATAAAAACTTTTTTTTTTTTCTGATACTGTAAAATAAATGCCAAATAGTCTGTTTTCCAGCAAGTAAAAAGCTCCCTAAAGGTGTAACAACAGATATGCTTCTACATACACTGCAGGTAAGGAGGCAGTTTTGTAAGCCTGGAACTGCTCTTTTTCTTCAGGTGAAATCCAGCAATAGCATTGACAGTTGCCGTACACCTGGGGAATCTGTGAGCAATAAATTAAAACATAACATAATTGGCTAGGTAATACAATCCTCTTTTTGTCTGAGGTCTTTCCTACTAATAAAACTGAATCATGTCAGATAATGGGTCTTGGTTTTGAACTATGGATCCAAATATTTTTCCAAAGATAATTTTGTTAGAGACCTCTATGTGTGAATTGCAACATAGAGCTTGCAAGGAGGGAGTCTGTACCGTATGGCATCAATTTAAAAACCTCCAGATGAAATTTTCAGTTGATCTTTTGGTTTTAGTACATTCTAATGCATATCAAGAAACCACTGAAACTACGTATTGCTTGCTTTTTTTAAATAAAAATAAAAAAAAAGAAGCAAAGTAGAAAAGTTACCAGTGGCTATTATATGTCATAAATCTGAATACAGGTTTGTCAGTGATGTTGGATGACACCACAGCATTTTCATTAGTGGTTCATTCAGCTAACAACAATTTTTGCCTACAGTAATGCCATCGACCTTGACCCTATTAGAAGGTTCACCTTTGGCTCATAACACACAGTTCAACTTGCAATCAATTACACCCAAGCAAGCGTCAGCAGCTGAGAGTGTTGCACAAATTGTTTATCTTAATGTTTATCTGATAAATATTCACAAAGGCAGAGAAGAGAAATCACATGCAGTCAAGATAAACAGTTGGTCAGAGATTCTGAGTACAGCAGCATTTGTTTTCTCTTTATAATTACCTGAAAACCTTACAGTTCTGTTGAACATATGACCAAGGAAATCTATGGAAATACTTTCAATTACTCAGATTTCTGGTATGCTGTGAACAGTCATTTCTTCCTTTTCCCTTTTCTCTCTCACCACCTATAATCTCTCAGGGACAATAGTTAGTCAAACCTCAAGATGCTAGTGACTGAAGAGGTTTTTCAGAAGTACAAAAGATATGATGATGGAGCAAATGAGATTTTTCAAGACTGTTTTGAAATAGGAAAATATATAAAAAAGGAAAAACAAAGAAAGAAAAAAAGAACAAACCCAAAAGAGCCACGGTAGATTGCTGATGTTCTCTATTTAGTAAATCCAAACAATTCACTCTAACTGAATGAATCAGAGCAAACTATCTCTGTGGTGAGAAGCCAAGAGCAAAAATCTGCAAGACATATTAAAACATGCAGAGAAATGATCTCATTGCCTCCACCCAAAGGTAAAGCTAAGGCTTGTAAACTTCCTTGAGAACGTTGGGCATGACAGGGAAGAAGATGAAGTGAAACATTTCCTTTCAGACATAGATCTTGCTGCTGTGTTCTGTATATTCATTGTCTTTGAGAATGGATTTCCACAGTTTGCGCTGCATGACTCTACCTCAGCTCTATGTGCAGTATTGAGACACCATGGAAAACAAGGAGGCTGCTGCTCAATGCTGCTGTAGAATGTGGTACCAGTTTTCTGATTTCTGTATTGTCTGTCTTCTGTCAATAGACCCTAAGCAGTTAATTGTGTTCTATCCAGCAGTCATTCCTGTTGCTGTACTACAGCATCTCTGTTGTTGTACATCTTGGTGCTGACAAATGAGAGTAGGGAACTGCTGCCAGATTTTTCATGAAGGGCATTGGCCTGGATAGGGCAAGGGTACAATGGGAAACCTTTAATAAACTGAGTCTATGTGGTCTCACATGGATCTGAAATCAGAATTTGCTTTGTGAATGCTGACAATCCTTTGACCAAATTAACCTTTTATATCCACTGGCTATTCCAAATGTCAGTAATGGGCGATGGGCTTTCTTCATTCTGTGCACAAAAGATAGTGCCGTGCTCCAAAAGAATAAGTATTTGTAGGTATGTTCGATGCTAGTTACCCTAAAGGGTAAAGCACACCCTGGGTATTGTTTCTGCTTTTGTTTTTGTTTTGAGACTTGATGAAGCTTCAGGATTTAAGTCTGGTAATTAGACAAGGTGTAGATGGTATTTTGAATTATTTATGCAGTGCTCTTTAAAAAGTTAGATAAAAAATTAGCTGACAGCTTGCTTATATTCAGATAGGTGGGTAAGATTAATTTTTTTGATGACAGCACTGGAGCTTGATTAAAATCTCTTAATTAAACTGGTGCAACTGAAAGAAAAAGGCAGCATGTGATTGTATGTGTGTGTATGCTTGTGTGAGAATAGTACAGCCAAAACTTTGTCTAACAGCACCACAAAAAATAGTAATTGTACATCAGCTAGGTAGATAATCCTGGTAGATAATCCATTTAAAGTAAGTAATGGATTGAGCACCTTCAGGCAGTGCTTACATTGCATGTTTTCTCGGGAGGAAGGTGAGAGCCACATGAAAAACTAAGGTTATAATAATGGCTGTCAGTGAAGCAAACACAGGGACCCGGACAAATCCTTTTTCCAGTTTCTAGGAAAATATGTGTGTTCTTTCAGATACTGTAAACCATAGTAGAGACTATATATATGTTGAATATGCGTATAACATGTTTATATGTGTACTTGGACAGCTTTTATGATTACTTAGGCCCTGATTCTTCCAGTATTTATGCACTGCTTAACTTGCAGCATGTGAATCATTTTTGCACGCTGAAGGATTATGAAAATCCACCAAAAAAAGAGTGTGTTGCACCAGTAGCCATGCTGAAAAAAGAAATCCTATACAAGCATACTGCTTGCTGGCTACATTGAACCCGCTTTGAAAATTCTCCCTCATGGGGATAAACTTGGATTTGCAGAAGGCAAGAAGATTGACATCTGTAGCTGTGCATAACAGGTTTTCTGGCATGATTAATGGAAAGAGGTCAACTATGAATATGACATGATGACAAAATCTGATCAGTATGACAACACATAGGCATAAAATATGAAAAAATAAAGAACTCAGATTGGAGACTTTGACCACTTATAAAAAGCATACATAAATACTATATTGGTAAAAATACAAGCCTCTTGTCAGTTAACATTCATTTAATGTTTCATTGACTTCACTTCTGGAATGAAAAATTTTGCAAGTACTTGTGGAAAAAATGGTATATTCCTACTTTTTAAATTTATTATAGTGTTTAGGAAATCAGCAGATCTATTTGTATATAATAAAAGTAACTACAGTGCTTGCTGCAGTGAAGTTTGTGTTGCAGATAGATATGTCCTACAGAAGTTTGTAAACAGCTCCATCTTCAGGCATCATGCCCTGTTCTACAAAAGAATACGGCAACAATTGTATCACAAGTTTTCAAAGACCTGTTAGCATTTTACCACTTACACCAATTTTTATGACTTAAACCACTGTAATTGTCTCATATAACCACTTCCCACATATATTAAGTTGAAAGAAAATCATTGGGATTGAACCACGCATCTAATGAATCCTGGTAGGTCAATGGCAGAGTAGATGTATGACAAGAGTACATTTACCTATATCTAAATTTAGACTGAAACTGCATTGCAACCACTATAACGTCTTTCTGTCAGCAGACCCCAAAGTGCTCAAGTAAAGCCAATTTTTAAAATGTGTGTGTGGCTAAACAAAAATGAATGAAGTGAGAGAGGCAGCACTGAGTAAATGTCATCGCGCAGCAGATGAAATATCTAAAAATCTTGGAGAGGGTACATCTCCCAAAAAGAGGCTTGCAGAATGGTCTTTTGACTATCACTCAGTGTGAGAATGAAAGATGCAGTTTCATATGCCAGCAAGATTGTAAATGAGGCATTTCTTAGATACTGAGGGGAGTGTAATGTCCAACGGGTATTTTTCTTCCCAGTGGCAGTGCCTGAATAAACCAGTGAAATGGATCTGGGAATAGATTTTTTTTTTTCCTGCAATATGTTGAAATAATTGTTTTTTGAATTTGAAAACAATTTGGGATACAGTTTGCCTATAAAGTGGCTAGAAGGGATGGATCTCTGTTACATAACAGGATATTTGGTAGTAAATGATATGATCATTTCTAGAATTATAAACTAAATTGAATATATTAGTCTGCCAAATATCAGTATGTTTGGCATTTTAAAATACAGTCTTTTGTCTTCACAGTTATTTTATATTAATCCTGCTGATCAGATCACTGTTCCTCTGTATGTATGTTTGTGCCTTCAATAGATGCATATGATCTGCTTCTGTGTGTGTGTGTAGATATACATGAAAGGTCCTTTTGTATAAATTGTAATTTTCTCCACCAATCAGATATAAGATAGATATAAATCTTTTCAATAAATCTATCACTAGTCCTTTTAGGACATATAAGTAGGTGTCATTTTCTTACTTGGTTAAAAGTTGGGGTTTTTTTCTTGTTCAGTTGTAAGATTTAGATCTAAAAACTATCAGTAAATTTTTCCAAATGCTTGTTAATACAACAAATATAGCAAACATTCATCCAACAATTTATTTCAGAAGTAGCTGTAACTCTGTAATATATACACCTTGAAATTATACTAATTATGTAAATTTGACAGCAACTAACTTGGCCAGAGCTTTTGTACTTAAGGCAAGTTTTTGGTGTCTCCTTCCTATCCATTTGAAAATTAACTAAGGACTTCAGAGTATTTGATGCTTTTCTGAACTGGTCATAATTCTACTGGGTTTACCTGAAGTAAGTGGGGGGGTTTATTTTAACCCTCCAGCTCTCTGTGCCCAGAGATACAAAGAGGTAGCAAAGACCTAAATAGCTGTAGGTTTGAAAATCGAGTTATCTTAAGCCTTTAGTCTGAGTAATATGGAGGAAATCCATGTGAGTGTAAATTTATTCATAAGTGTACATTTATTCAGTTGAACACTGTAAAAATATGCAGCCTTTAATGGGAAGATGAAGAGAAAGAGGGAGAAGCAGACTTGTAAAAGTACATTCAGTTATCCCCTTTATCTCCCACTGCATGAAAAGGAATACTATTTTTTTTATATTATTATTATTTTCGTATGGTGATAGAAGTTGTGTGCAAAAACATCATATGGAATCTTGAATTTTATAGAGAACATCTATTAATGGAATTAACTGAGTAGAAAGCATACCATCATTACTACAGAAATGCTTCACAGAAATAAATGCAAGGTGTTTGTTGACATTTTTAACTAATTCAGAGAAGTCCAAATCTGATTAGGAGTCCAGTCCTTTACCTTTAGATTCCAGTGGAGCTTGATTAAACTCTTCAGTAACTGAGAACACAAAAGATACATACATTGCTTCTCTAAAACCAGTGATGCACAAAGAAACATTTTAGTTCATTTCATACAGGTTCTAACTTAACCATCTCTATACATATAGAGCCAGTCCTATCAAATTAATGGGACTATTTCTAATCTGAAAATAGGAGCATGTTTGTATAGTTTACTAAACAAATGAACTATATTTCACACACACACCACACCCCAAAACACTTCTTGTGCCAACAGCCAAGGAAACCGAGTGTTTATAGGAAAGTACTATAGAAGGTACAGGACGTGGACCCAACAATCTGTATGCAAATTTAATACATGCCTAGAGACGTTATTCCAAAACCTGGTATGGTAACATGCTGGCTTCACTGAAGCCTGTAAATTTCCATTGACTTAAATGGAGCCTGCATTTCTTTTGCATCATTTTCTTGCTGTATTACAGAAATGCTAGACAAAGCTATTGAATTCAGGAGGATAAAAGTACTTCTGTGACTACATCAATGGGATAACAGCATTTCTTTGAAAGGTGGGGTGGGTTGTTTTTACAAAAAGCTTTTATTTCTTTCTCTATAGACCCTACAGGACTTTTTCAAAGGTAATGGTAGAGTTATATTATTTTTTTATTAAAATAAATATTTGATAATTATTGGAGTTTATTGGAGTTTAGTTAAAATGTTGGAGTTTCATTAAGTTACCTCAAGAAGAAAAGAGAATTCATTTTAGTCATTAGAAAAGGGTACCAGTAGTATGAGTTTCTGATTATACATCTAACTACCACCGAATTGTTCTTTTGGGGAATATCCCCTAGCCTCTCCTTGACTCATCTGCTTTAGTTGCATGGACAAATAAAATCCATTCTGGTAGTGCTGCTAAACTGGTTAGTTAATTCTTTGTAGAGTGCTTCAAATACAGCATTGCAGGTATGCATTGTAATATTATTGTCAAAAATGGGATGAGTTCCCCAGTAAACCAGCTGTCACATACCAGATATATCTCTGCAGTGCCATACAAATCTGTGGCCTTCATGATTATTTCGGAAGCAGTGCTCATCAGCAGAAGCAAGAAAGAAATTAATTATGGGTGACAAAACTTTTTCAGATGTGAAGTCAGCTCCTCAAGCAATCTTTCTTTTCTTTAAAAAAAAAGTCCAAAACTTTTTGTGACATGATTATCTAACTTGTATACAGTTTCTGTAATTTTTATATCTGTGTCACTGAAATTATTGTCCTAATCGTATATTTCTAAGTAATAAAAGTTTTGAGTAAAATGCTTCTAAAATAATCTGAATAGTCTTCCATATATTTGAATTTTAAATGTAGTAAGTGGCATATAACTCTTCTCTGAGACCTTCACAAGAGAATCTGAAAAAATTAAATCACTGAAGTGGCTTTTGTCTATCTCAAACCAGTAGTTGCTAATCCTAAACTGGACTTCCATAAGTAACTATGGAAAGATTTTGACCCAAGTTGGCAT